AGCCCACTGGAGCTATGGAAGTATGAGTTCCAGCTGGTAGATTTGCAGAGGGAGAAAGGGCAGATTCTCCCACAGATGCTTTTAGGAAAACCAGGAGCTGGACCTGTGCAGACGTAAGGAATGGGAGAGGTTTCAGGTCGGAGGAGTGACATTGAGAACAATAGGAGAATCAGGCTGAAGGGTAAGGGAAAGGAGTTGTTAGAGACAGAGGTAAAGAAATCTTGACACTGCTTTGATGAACTTTGATTGTTATATTTGGTCCAATACAGGAGCAGTTCTCATTTATCTGACTCCCCATTATAAATGACTTCATAGAAAGAGAAAGAATGGGTAAGAAAGAGATGCAGTCAAACAGGCAGAGAGATATAGAGAGACAAAGCAATATGTACATAATCTGACCAGCAGTTCATTATGCTGCTAGGGAAATGAAATACTTGTGTGATCCATGCTTTAGCTTGGAACTTCATCACGCTCCTGGAAATAAACACATCCAAGTGTGTCCATTATGTCAGTCAGCCTAGTTAGATGCTTTCCTTCATGCAACTGGAAATTTGTGAAGGTCTTTTCTTTTTTAATCACAAAAGGTCAATGAAAGCATTATTTTTAAAAATTCAATGTGATGAAGGTGTCTGAATGAAGTCAAAATAGGAAGAAATGGTTATGAACATTTACAGTAAAAGGGAAGACAGACCTGACCATGCTCAGGGACTGACCAGAAAGGGTAAATGAATTAAGGGACTCGGTCTTCAAAGTAAAATAGACGATCATAGCTACTGTGGGCCTGGTGGCTTAGCCAAGCAGAGTCACTGTGGAGCTAAGGCCTCAAAGTCTCCTCAGAAGCACCAAGATGTTCAGAGCCTGTCTGTACCCACAGCATAGTCGTTTACTGACCAGAACCAGTGGCCAGCAAATTAGAAAGGACGACTGTTAGAAATCACAAAATAACATGTCCACATGCATATCGGACACACAGACAAATAAGTACATTTTCCAAGGGAAAATGCCTCCCATGGGCGGCTCTCCCAAGTGATATGGCAAAGGCCACAGGAAGCTGACATGCTCAAGTGCTGGCTTTTGATCTTGGAGAGTCTTACACGGTCTACATCTGAGGTGTCCATCTTCTTTACCTTCCTTTTCCTGTTTTTCCTCCCACCTCCCTTCATTCACTTCTGGAGTTTACCCAGAAAGCACCAGTTGACCCTCAGTGAGTGGGTTCCATATCTGCATTATAGTGAAACTGTACTCCTTGCATGGGTGGTCCTTATGACATGACAGAGCTCTCGTTTTCCTATTTAAAGTGAACTTGGGGTCTCAACGACAAAGGAAAGAAATCTGGTTAATAGTAAGGATATTAAAGTTTTTGTTGGCTGAAAAATCGTGGTAGCTTTTAGTTTTGCTTATATGTGTTTCTACTATCTCCTTTGCTTATCCAACTACATGGAAACTTTAACATTACAAAAAAAATCATTGTTCAAACTAGAATAACAAAGATCAACTGAAATGGAATGTCTACTTACATCTCTGAGATTGTATTTAGATACATACAGGTCAAACACCTTTTCTGAGTGATTTTAAAGATGCTAAAACATATGTAATAAACATTTTAATCATTTTAATTGTTCTATTCAGATGCATTCACATTTTGAAAAATATTTTATCTTTAAATATGTGTACATATTGTATTGGCGTGTATGCACACGTGAGTGCCAGCACAGGACAGAAGAGGGTGTTTGGTCACCTTGACCTGGAATCACAGCAGTGGACGGGACTGGGGACTACCAAACTTGGGTCCTCTGGAAGAGCAGTGTGGACTCTGAACAGCTGAGCCACCTTTCTGGACTCATACATTCTATTTTTATGCAACCATTTCCATTCTGTCTCTAGAGCATTTTCTAGATAGTGATTGTGCTTTCCCTGTGCTTGTCCCTGGTAGTCACCATTCTGGTGTCTGTCTCTGTGACCAGCTCTTGTAGGTTTGACATGATACTGGTATCTAATGTTGTTTGGAGGTTATTTTCAAAAGCTCCTGGACTAGGAAACTGGGACACCATATAGAATCCACTGGTGGTGCACATGAGAATAGGAATGTGGAAATCTAGGAGACTTTTATTGCTAGCCAAGTACAGGATACATAGCCTTGAAAACAAGCTTCATTGATCCTTCTGGGGTGACAGGCCCTAGAAATGGAGGTTAGGAAAGGTCATATCTTTTCTGGAAATTCAGACCTTGCCTCTTTTTGATCCTTTAAACAAGGTGTTATCTGCCCTTCTTTGAGGTTGCTGCCTACTGTCTGAGCTGTCTATCCTGTAGGCAAGAGTGGAAAGTGAGAGGCTATCTGCTGGTCCCTCCAGCTGCCATCTACAACAAACTCATTTTGGCCAACCCGTTGAAGATGCTCCACACGCAGGCACCGTATTCTAAAAGACAAATAAGGCTGGGGCTCCTGGCCAGGCTCTGGATAGCACTGCCTTTGAAATATGGATTCACAACTGTCAGACTCAAAAACCACCTCTCCCCCTTTACCGTCCTTTTATGCAGTTAAATGTACAACCTCCACACACAGCATCTGTTCAACACCACTGTGAACCCCTCTCCTATCAACTATGTCCCCAGCGCCTTAATGACTTCATCTCTTTTTATCTTCACAACAGCTCAATAAAACATATAATAAATACCTTTTAAAAGGATGGGAATCTAGACCAGGAGACTAACAACTTTTTTCAAAGCTACCCAGATGATAAAAATAAAGCCAAGGGCCAGTGGGTAAGGTACTTGCCACCAAGCATGATGACAAGTTGTATATCCTTGGATCAGAGGAGAGACCTGACTTCTCCCACAGGTTGTCCTCTGACCTTCACATGAACACCACACACAAAGGTCATTTAAAAAACAAAAATGTGTCTGAAGTTCAAAACTCGTGCACTACTTTCAAATAGCACTGATATATACAGGCAAGAACACCTTTTTCTGATTGGAGCTTTCTGAAAGACATAGTTTCCAATAATAGTTCTTTCATGAACTAAGAGTTGTATTTTTGTGTTAACAATATTATGTTGAAAAAATATGTGTATAATGCTTTTACCATTATTTCTTACTGTTATGAGCTCTTTGAATTTTTATTTTTAATTAAAAGAAAAAACTACTATATGAAAGCAAATATATATAGAAATAACACATATATGCATTTCATGGCAATGTTATCTTCAGTATAACTTAAATATAACATGAAATTAAATATTTTAATTTACCTCAAATAGCAGAAATTCTGGCACATTTGGTTTAAGGGAAATGTAGAAGTTAAAGGCAGTAATGTAAAGCCCACTGTCTTTTAATTGCTCAGACTGTTGATGTGATACCCCCCCCCCCCCCCCCCGCAGCCCTTCACAGTTTCCTCTGGGTCAGACCTGACAACTCACACAGGCTAATTATGGGAAAGTCCTTTGTATGGAGTCTTGGCTGTCATAAGGAAGAAGTGCCTGAGATAGAGGACTGAGTTTATTTTTCTGTTTTTCTACCCAGAAAACCTAATACTCATAAGCTAGGGTGAAATTCTATGAGCTGGAAGACTTTTGATGGGAGAAAAATGCATGAGGCTGTGGACCATAAAGAGAAGTTCTTGGAAAGAACCACACCTTATGCTGGCTGTTCTGCAAGGCTGGTTAGCTGCTCAGAATGTCAGTGGCTGTGCAGAGGCTGTGATGTTGCAGGTCCAGAGCATGGTTACAATTTGTCTTGGCATCTTCAGACTCCTTGATAATCATTCTCTGCCCACCTCTGTGTCTGACCCTAACATCCCTTTGACTAACATGTAAAACCTTTCAGAGTGTGATACAAAGCCTCTGGTTTCTACCAACCAAAGGCTAAGGATGCACAGGAAGACTTGAGCCCTGTAGCTAGGATCTCCCTGCCTGGCTGTTACCCTCCTACCAGATGAATCCACCAGTGTATTCCAAAAGTGCCTTGCTTTATGACTTGCTTGCTCTGTAACTATTAAAAAATCATCAAACTGTTACATGTTAGAACAAGGAATTTGAGGTAGCCTACATCTGTATTCCGAAGTTATTGCCGGTCATTCGACTTCAAGGTCAACTGTTTCTTTGGCTTTGAGGTGGAAGTTGTGTTTTTGTGTCAACAATTTTATGTTGAAAAAAATATTTAAGTAAATGTTTTTACTGTTAAATTACTGTTGTGAGCTCTGTGGATTTTTTATTTTTAATTAAAAGGCAGAGCAGATAGGGAAATTTTAATTCAAGACAGTAATTTCATTAGAATAAGAAATATTGCGAAATTCTTTCTATAATGTAGATTTGGGTATTAATAGAAAGAGTATCTTTCTTAGAAAGAAACTAAGAGTTTAGGAAATATTCACTCTACCAAGGGATTTGCTGTAATGTGATATCATTATATTTGTGATTTTATGGAGGTAAAGTGAATACTAAATGAAACAAAATTCCCAAGGCTGACTCAGGAGGCAGCTAAGCACACAGCATCTCACATAGATGGTTGGAAGGCACAATTTTGCCCCATCACTGCATCCGTATCCTTGAACGGTTTCGACTGAAGACAGCATTTCTTTGAATTTTTCATTAAACCCGACGTCTTGAAATATGAATTCCTTTTATGTTCCTGTGAGTTTTGGCTAAGAGAACCCCAGTGAATAAATCATACCATACGGCGTGTCACCAGCACTTGTGAATATTTCTGCTTTGTTATTCTATTCTCAGCAGAGCACCATTGATTATCAAACTCAGCGGAGAGCATTTTATGATCATATATCTCCATTAGCTCTGAGTTTGACTACCATAGATTTTTCTGGTTAAGCTTGCATTATGTATTAGGAAGCCTATCTCTTCAATACAAAGTTTGATTTCATTTTCTAAGCCCAGATCTCTTATTATGTATTATGTATAAAGATTCTTATCCTTTATATGTAAAAATAGGCTGCACTATCTTTGTGTAACTGTAATCTATGCCATCTTTTCTTTTTTCTTGATTCACAGGCAGCGTATTATAATATGAAGATGAATTTCTACAATGAAATGGCTGTCAGGGTAAATATTTCTTCACTTGTTAAACAAATGAAAAGTCAATTGTGCCCTGAATTCCCTTTTAATAAAACGAGCAAAGCAAAGTAATGCAAATTTGATTGATATGCTAATGGAGGTGGGACAAGAGCACTAGTTAAAAAGTTAGCTGTATTAAACACATAGCAGCATTGACAACTGGGGTAAAATGTAAGCCACATAGCTGTAATATCCATGCTTTGTAATGCCAGGGATCTCTGAGCCATAGCTAAAGGAAGACCACAAACATTGGTGAAGTAATGCATCAGTGTCCATATGTCATGTGAAATGTCATGGTAAATAGATGAACATGGCTCTGAGATCTAAGAATCCTTCCTCACATAAAGTAATTACAATTATTCATATGCTTTAGCAATAATAAAGTTTGTTTCCAGCATAGAAACTTTCTGTCATTTCTGAGTTCATTTTTATGTGCTGGTTCTCTAAGTGACTTTAGGATTGATAATATGGCTTGGACAGGAAAATGTTTGACTTGCAAGCATGAGGGACTGAGTTCTGATGCCCAGAGCTCTTGTAACCAGCTAAGCATGGTGGCAGTACTTTCCTGTAACCCCAGTGATGGCAGGGTGGAGACAGGCTGATCCCTAAAGTTCATTAGGCAGCTTTAGGCTCACTGAGAGACCTTGTCTCCAAAAGAGGTGGGCGCAGAAAGAGTGATGGAAAATTCAACATCTCCCTCCAGCCTCCACATGAATGCTTGCCTGCATGCACTCATGTTTACACGTATATACACACACACAACACACACACACACTCACAAACAAGCTGAACATAGCAACCATATGCTTGAATTTGATTTCTGCAGATGTTGGCAATGAGTGCAAAAAATGTATTCCCTTTAATTAAATCAATGTAGTTATAGATTAATTGCTAAATTATTATGTATAGGGAAATTTCTTGGTTGAATTTTATTACTTCTTCTAAGACCTTTTTTGCCTGATTACATTCTCTTTGATTAATATTGGTTCTTACTTTGGTAGAGAACACATTTGGCTTTGGACCAGGCAAGGTAGCAAATTCTTTCTGAAAGCCATGTGCTAAGTGAGAGACCTGGTTAACATTTCTTCTGAATCTGTATGCTACCCTTGGAAAGGTTGCTATCTTCTATGTGGAGGCAAAGGGGAGCCTGAACCAGGCCTTCTACAGTAACTGTGCACCTTTTTGTGTCCCTAGAGTTGGTGAGAACTCAGACAAGAGAAAGAGGTAGTATTGTCTGGAAGCAAGAGCTCCAAGTGGGATGCCGTTAACCTTTCTCAGTAGCATCCACACAGGAAAGCACTTTAGATTTTCTTTCTTCAGGACATGCACTGATCTGAGAATGTATAGGGTTTCCATTCTTTTTGCAGTGCTACCATAGGCTCAAACATGGAGACTTTCAGATTCTCATCTGCTTACTTCATGTCTGATGTGTCTCTAAAGTAAAAAGTAATGAATTGTTGAGAACCTAAAACAGTCTTGCTTTTTCTTAAAGGACATGGTCTCATGTAGTCTTGACTATGCAGCCAAGGATGGCCTTGAACTTCTGACTCACTTGCCCTAATGTCCAGAGTGCTAGCATTACAGGTGTAAAATATCCCTGCTCCACTGGAGAGTATATTACAAGTATTGCCCAAAGCCTTAGGTGTCTCTGTAGACCCCAAGTGGATGACGACAGATCTTCTGCCCCATCCTACTAAGCCTTAGTAACTACAGAGAAGCCCAGAAGACAAGGATGGAATAATATGTACTTGTGTCTTTTGTTTGTTCCCAGGGCTTCATAATGAGTTCTGATCTGACTGAAGTGAGGTTCCCTTAACCTAAGTAGATCTGTAAAAGAAGTTCACAATGATACAACCATTAGAAAGCATCCATTTCTTGAGCATCATACTAGAAGTGTCATCCAGTTCAGTTTGTCTTTGATATGAATTGGTGGGCACTGTTGAGGTTCACCCTTGAGTCTTGTAATCCCAGGTATCAAACATATTAGAAGAAAAAAGGTCTTTGTGCTTATTTGCTTATAGAGAAGAGCTTACACATCCTTCCCACCCTGACTTGTATGAGGCATATGCTTGGTGTCCAACTTCTTCATTCATGGCAAGGCCAAGTTTAGCATATCCTTGCTAAAATTGCCCCTTTCTTAAAATGCTAAACAGCAGACCACAAAGAAAAAGAGAAAAGATAAGCAGAAATAGAGAAAGGTAAAAGCCCAGAGGCAAAAAGATAGATGGGATAATTTAAGATAAGAAAAGCTGGCTAGCATCAAGCCAAGCTAAGGCTGGACATTTATAAGAAAGAATAAGGTTCCATGTGTGATTTACTCGGCATCTGTGTGGTGGGCCTCCAAAAAAACCAGAAGAGTAAAAAGAGTAAATACAAGCAACAGCAACTTTGGCATTGCCACGTGGGGTTGGAGTAAAAGAAAGTCCAGTAACACTGGCATGACGAACACTGTTCAGTAGCTAAGGCTGTGAGGTAGAGCAGCCAGTACTAAGTAAGTGTTCATGCTTTTCTAGTGCAGAACAAATACGTACTATGCTTTATATAATAGACATTATATATAATAGACAACCCAACTTGCTGTATTTTTAAAGGGTCACCTTTTCTATGTAAAATTTATGATCCCCTTTCCCTGTAGAGTCAGTCACTCTCTGGAATTTTATTTCTCTACTTCACCGTAGACATGTTTTTTTCTATGAAAACTGGTAACATTTTATTATTCTTCCTAATTTACATCCCAACCTCCACCACAGCTACATTGGAAGTCTCTTGGGACCCAGAGATGGCCATTCTTCAGTTTCCAATGCTTGACTTATGGAAGGTGGTTAAAGAAATATCTTAGGACAATCAGTCAATGCTGTCCCTCCCTCTTACTCTTTCTTATGTATGGAGTTTTAAAAAGAAGTCCTTTGCCTTAAATAATTTTTCTCTACATCACTAAGGACTAAGCGCCCTTGTTAGAAGAGATCATTTTTGCTTTTGCTGGGGATGGTTAAGCTATTTAAATTCCATAAGTAGGCACTCTGGTAGGGATGGACTTTACGGCAGATGTAATGACTGCTTCTTGGAGATTCCCTTTTGTCCTGGAACACTTTGGAGTGATTGCTCAATCAGATGTCATTGCTTAGCAAAGCGACTAGGACTGGGAGAAGGCCAGCAGACTCTCATTCTGAGTGATTTGTCTTGATTTTAGCAACCCAATCACTTCAGTTCAGATTGAAGTGTTCGCTTTATAGGAAATAACAACATAACAGCTTGAACACTAAAAATGACTTTAAACAAATTTGCAAAGTACTGTAACTTTAGGGATTCACTTTCTCTTACAGTTATGAATTAATGTAAGTCACAATATCAAATTGTTTGTTTATTTCATGTCTAAAACATGATGAGTGTAAGAAAAATTATATAGTGACTTTGCAGTGGTTAAATATGTCATCTATAAACTTTTGTCTCAGTCCTTTAGACTGCTTATAATTCTATTCATATTTATTGTGGCATGAAGGAAGCATGATTTACAGTAACAACTTTCATAATTTAAGACACACATTGCTAAAATTTTTTTTCTTAGAAAAAGGAGACTGACAGCCTCAGAGACTGGAAATGGCATCATGTTTCTGTGGCTGCAGAGTGCTTAGTCACAAACTTCAGTGTTTTCGTCAAGATAGGAAGGATACCTTAGACAATGTCAAGTGTTTACATCATGATGCCTCCATTACCATGCAAAGGAATGTCTCTTCATTCGCCTTCTTACTAAGATTACACATGCAAAGCACTTAGATCGACTCTTAGAGAAAGCAAAGGTAAGGAGAGCCGAGGTTGAGCAAGTGCTGCCATGGTCCAAGGATGTACACCAGGGCATCAAAACTAGGTAGGACATTGTCAGCAGGTCCTCTTTCCAGGCTTCCTGCACTTCTGTTTTAGGAAAAACAACCTTTGTTCCTCTTCCACTGACATTCAGATCACTATGGATTTGGGGAATAATGATAAACATAGTGGAGGAAATCTTTTCTGTGAGCAGATGGCTTTTGCTGTACCAAGGTTTTGCCATTTGTCTCAGTGCTTAAAATAAACATTATTTATAAGACCACTTGCAATGCAATGTTACTTAATGAGGAATATGCATCACTGGTCTGACTCGCTTAAGAGGTCATTTAGAACTTACCGGTTAACAAGCTGTAATCTGCTGAGCACACGATGGCTTTGTTTAAAATTATCTATTCAGAGCTGATCACTGATAATAATTGTCTTATTTCAATCACTTCTGAAAGTTGCTAATTACTTTGAAGGGCGTGAATACTAGCCATTTTGGGTTTTGTTTTATTTCATTTTTTTTTGAAGTTGTCACCCATTCACCTTGGAATTAAGAAAAACAATATTGTAAGATTTATTCTGGCTCTGAATTTATTTTCTTTTAAAAAATTGTCCATTCACCAGGACTCAAATATCAGCAGGAAATTTACAAAATCCCCCATATCAGTAGGTAAGGATAGCAGATTCCTTACCCATATATATACCACATCTATACTAACCAGCAACTGTTACGCTAGCGCCCTGCTATGAGAAAATGTGTCTTTAAGATTAAAGACAGATTCTCCTTCTCCGTGTAATGTTCACAGAGGACAATGGTGCCAAAAGTGTGAACTTCATAGCAAGACATACGTGGGCTTGTGTCCTGACTGTGCCAGCTGCTTTTGTAGTGGATAGATGAGCTTGAGCAATTCCTCCGCTTAGTTTCTTCATGTTTAACACGAGACCATGCCTTGTTCATAAGGAGTGCTTGAATGGAATCCATTAGTGTTATACTTGGCAAAGCAAGAAGCAAATGACTTTCAGCCTGTTCACGTCCCTGACAGTTGTTCCCCTTGTTCACCCAAGGCTCAGATCCTCCCATCTCCTTCTAGACACTCATTTTACACAAAGCCACTTAAGGACCGATTATTTATTGTGATGGCTAGTTTAATGTCAACTTGACACAAGCTAAAGTAATCAAAGAAGTGGGGGTTCTCAACTGAGTAAATGTCTCCCATTAGATCAAGCTGCAGGTAAGCCTGTAGGGCATTTTCTTAACTAGTGATGGGGGAAGGCCCAGGTCTTTGTGGATGTTGCCATACCTAAGCTGTTAATCCTGGGTTCTTTAAGAAAGCAGGCTGAACAAGCCATGAAGAACTCATCAGTAAGCAGCAACCTTGCATGGCCTCTGTATCAGCTCCTGCCTCCAGGTTCCTGCCCTGTTTGTGTTCCTGCCCTGACTTCCCTCGTTAATGGATTGTTATCTGGCAGTGAAAGTGGACGTACAAGCCAAGAAAACCCTTTCCTCCACAGCTTGCTTTGGTGGTGGTGACTCCTTCCAGCAGTAGTAACCCAACTGTGCTTCAGTGTGGATGAGTTTTCATTTTTATCTTTTTTTTATTATTATTATTTTTGAGAGTAAATTTTATTAAATTATAAAAGTTTCCATTTCCACCCCTCTTCCCAACACCCTCCCACTCCCCCCACTCCCTCTCCTCCTCCCTCTTCGTCCCTTAGGGCAGTCAGGGTTTCCTGCCCTGTGGGAAGTTCAAGTTCCTCCCCCCTCCCTCCAGGTCCAGGCAGGTGAGTATCCAAACAGACTGGATCCCCAAAATCCAGTATATGCAGAGGAAACAAGTGCCAGTATCATAGTCAATGGCTTTTCAGAAAGACTTCGGGCCAGCCACATTCAGAGAATCCGGCCAAATTCCGAGAATCTGGTTAGATCACGTCCTCGTTCAGTCCCAGTCCAACTGGCTTTGGTAAACTCTCATTAGATCCGTTCCCTTGTATCAGTGGGTGATAGCATCCCTCGCAGTCCTGATTTTCTTTTTCATGTTCTTCCTCCTTCTGCTCCTCATTTGGACCTTGGGGGGCTCAGTCCGGTGCTCCAATGTGGGTCTCCGTCTGTATCGCCATCCTTCGCCAGATGAAGGATCTATGGTGATAAGCAAAATATTCATCAGTATGGTTATGGGCCACGGCCAGTGCTGGCTTCATTTTTATCTTAATCATCACTTGCTATGTTTACTTTCTCAGTATATGATTGCGAATAAGGATTTGCTAAATGGGCTATGGTGCCAAGAATATCAGGGTCGCAGAAGGTTCCATTTGAGCCTGTGTGGATGAGGTTGCTACTCTTTCCAGGACTTGCTAGAGTTGGGAAAAGAAGGACCCCAGGCCATTGCCACCCTCACCCATCCGCAGGAATTCCTTTTGGGTTAGCACAGGTGACTCTGCTGGTTCATGTTTGTATGCACAGACTGCTTTTCTCAGAAATGGCCTCAGTTTCTGTTCTGCCATACAGAGACTTTTAGCCACCACACTCATTTCTCAAAAACATCTCGATGTCAGCTGAGATGTTGATTTTCTTTGAATCTGGTAATACTTCCAGGTATGAGTTCCCTCAGCACCACCACTGAGTGCACGTGTTTCCTGCAGTGCATATCTCCAGATGGCCTCATAGTTGCTACCAGCATTGCTTTGTCAGCAGAAGAGTATACTGAACATCAGAAGCCACCCAGCCACCCATGTGGCCTTAGGCATTTATTGGATCTCACTAAGCATCAATTTTCTCTTCTTTTGAATGAGCCTTATATCTATACCTCAGCATGAAATGAGAACATTAAGTTAGATGAAACAAGAAAATACTATCCTATTTGCATGTATTATTTATATATGTAAACTTTGATTTGTTTCTCTGTTTCATTGAAAAGGGTTTGTACCAATTCCTCCAGGTTATCAGATATTTTATGATTATGGTTAAATTATAGAGACTTTCCAAATTGAATATCATGTCATGTTATAACAATCTTTTTTAATCTAAAGAACCGATCTCGAAGATAAGACCCTCTGAGGAGTCTGAGAGACTGCTCAGTAGCTGCAAGTTCTTGCTGCTCTTCCATGAGACATTTGGCTCTGAGCACCCACGTCAGGTGGCTCACGCCAGCCTGTGACTCCAGCAACGAGAATCTGCTCCCTTCTGGCTTCTGCAAGCACTGCACTCAGCTGCAGCTCTCCCATGGCTAAGATAATTACCTAAAGAGAAAGGAGTAATTGAACATAACTTGAAAAACATTTTATTGACAAGCTCTCGATGTAGCTATAGTGTTACTTCATTCTGGTTCCTAAGATTCATGTCTCTGGTTCAATACCCTCACCATTGTGGCTGTTTCCTGTATTTTAATCATTTTTTCCATACCAAAAGGCTGACTAAGATATTAAAATCCCCACAAATATGAGACTGTCAAATGATTGTGAAATGTTTTTAAATAGCTTTTTTAAATGACAGAGAACATCGCTGTGTATTCAGTATTAATTCCACATTCCACTTACATGTATATTAGGCTTAATACCTTTACCTAAAACACAAAACAAAACAAAAATACCGCTGGAAGGCTAGCAATGATTCTCAGTGCTTCCTACCATATTTTTAACTAGGTGCAGACATTTTTTTTTATCCACTAAATTGTTCTGAAGATAACATATGTAAAATGCTTAGGATATCCCCTGACGTGCGAGAAGTCACCAAATAGTAGCTGTTAACATTACTAGAATAGCAGCAAGAAGTCATTGTTAAAACTCAGGGCAGTACCAGGTGTAACCACTAGCACCTATCGGCCCAACACTTGGGAAACGCAGGCGAGGATGATAAATTTGAAGATAGCCTGGCTTCTATCATGAGTTATGGGCCTGTCTGGGCTACTAGAGAGAAATTGTTCAAAGCGAAAAGTAAGTAAATGCGACATTAGCTATCAGGGTTTTCCCCTTGGTGGTACTAGAGATTTGAACCTAGGGCCTTGTTAATATTGATATAACAACAATTAAAGAAAAGACAATGAATTCCAAAGAGAACAGGGTTTGGGGGGAGGAAAAAGAAGGGGAAATAACATAATGCCAAAAATAAAAAATAAAGTTAAAAACAAACAAAAATATCATTTTTTTAAAAAGACAGGCTCATTTAACAGTTTACTTCAATAAGGCCTAATCCAACTGGCAGTGGCGTTAGTAGTTGTATTAGCTCTTCTTTCTGTTGCTCTGACCAAATAACTAAGGGAGCAGCTTCAAAGTCAAGAATTTGTTACAGTGGATAAAGAGCTTTCATACAAGCGTGAGGATGGGGCTTTGCATCCCCAGTAGCTATATAAGAGCAGGGGCAATGGCGGCACTGCAGTCCCAGTGCTTGGAGGAAGAGACCAGGTATGGGGAAAGCTGCCTGGTTAGACTTGCTGAGGCAGCCACATCTGGCTGCAGCTAAAGAAGCTGCCTAAGTAAATAATGGGGACAGTGATCTACAAAATTCTGACTTCAACCTCTGGCTTTCACATATATCCACACATGCACCCACACATGAGAACATGTGCCCCCACACACACCACAGAATAAATATAATAGGTTTTCCCCGATGCTCGTGACCACTTTAGCATTGTCAGATATGGGTTCCATCTCATGGCATGGATCTTAAATTCAATCAAAAGGTTGGTATTCGTATTGCATTTGTGCCGCAATCTCATGAGCATATCTTGCAGGCATGTCTCTGTTGTAAGTTGCCAGGTTGGTAGCTGGCTGACATTGACAATCACTTTTTCCTATAGTATGCGGAGTACCTTGCATCATCACGAATGCTTGTCAGTAGGGGTGAAACTTTCAGCTGTACACCGTCTTGATGTCTCTCTGTTCGACGACGTAAATAGTACCTTCAGCACCACAGCTTTACCACTAAGTTGTAAAGGACAACCAAATAGCCTTAGTAGCCTATGATGTTTGAAAGGGCTGGTCCATGCGACCTCCTTAGCCAGTGACTCAGTATATGTAGCCCATTCCTGGCTATGTGGTTGCATAAGATGTCTTAGTTGGAGCATTGTCCAAACCTTTATTTGATAGAAGTCATTATACATAATCATCTTGATTTGAAGAGGTATATTTTTTTTAAAAAAATGTTAAATGGCATATTTTATCTTTTTATTTACATTAATAGATTCAGAGACAATGGCGTGGCTTTAGGATCCGGAAGTATTGCTTTAATTATTATTATTTGAAGGAATACTTGAGAGCTGTTTCAGAGACCAATGATGCAATTAGGTGAGTAATATAACAACTTGTGTACTAATGAAAATTCACATGGACTGTTAGTGGATACTGGTTATTATCACACTTAGAAAAAGCCATTGAAAGTTAGTGATAGCATATTGGCAAGATATAGCTACATGATTTGGTTGACCTTAAACATTTATTATCCATATGTTAAAATTATCGTGTATGATTGACTGTAGCTTTTTTGTGTGTATGGTATGTGGTCATACAAGAGTTTACTTTCTATAAAAAACCATAATGAGTTAGATTTATCTATCAAATGATTCTGTAGATTAAGTCTTCAGTAAACCTCACATGTATGTTGATAAACATGCAAAACAATGAGGATTTGCTTCTGAAGAAGGACAAAATCATGGGATACATTAAGGAGAGCAATCTGACAGCAAGCAAGGTACCGGGACATCATCTGTAGACAGATGCAAAGTTGACAGTCATGGCACCGCTTAGTCAGCCTTTCCAGAGACTGTGTGGTTTCATGTTGCTGTGCTTTCAAAACATTCTCCCTGTGTTATAGACCCCACTGTAGTGACATGATTACCACATGCCTTCGGGACATGTAAGCAAAGTGGAAATGATCGTTAATGATTATTAGCACCCAGAGAGTTTTTACTTGCAAATTTTGTTCCTTCTACAATCATTTATTTATTTATTTTTATTCTATAATGTTTTTGGACCAAGGATATAAACAGTTGTTTTAAAGTTCTTGCTCTAAGGTGTGCCTGCCTTCCTGAGGGGCTCTCTTTGTACAAATCTGTGTTTTTAAATCAATTAACATGTTTTAAACAGATTCCAAAGCTGGAATCCTAAAATTATTTTCTGTAGTATTGCCAAAGACCCAGTTTTGCCTAAGTGGAGGTCCCTAAAAGATTCCCAGAGTTCCTCAGGCTGCTGGCACCATCCCTGTGTCCACTCTTCTCACCAGTGGATGACAGTATCACTTTTCATATTCGCTTGTTTAGAATATAATTTGATGGTGGAAGATACAAACTAATCCCACACTAGTTCAGAATTATGTATAATAAAGGGTTATTTATTTTGGGGAGACTCACAGATCACTGTCCTAGATCACAGTCCTCTGCACAAACGGGGGAACAAGAACAAGAGTCTAGCAGTTGGAAGCAGGAGCCTGAAGGAAGAGAGCAAGCACATTTACAGCTGCATTTATAGTAAAAGAGACCACACCCAAGTGGGCTGGTATCTTAAAGGCTATTGGCTGAAGGAACTGAAGGAGCTCTCACAGCAATAATTCCTATGGGAGATGTAAGTGTTGCATATTTTATATGTTTTAAACAGCATTGCGTCACAAAATCTGCAGGAGAGTGGATGAACTTCAAATGTATAACACTAATGAGGCCACACAATTATATTCTCCCTAATATAAGGAACCTAGCTAATGATATATGTATGCATGTAAGCATATGTGCATGCAGGTACAGTGTAACATGCAGAAAACAGAAAAAGACAGGTTAAATATCAAGAGGTGAGCAAGAACTGACCACAGATGTTCATCTATTCATGTGAGTTTCTGTTCAGTCCTTTATAAATTTGTGATTCTTGCTTTAAAGATTTTTTTAAATTAAAGTAACTATGGCCTAGGGAAATACCTCAGTCAGTAAACTTGCTATATAAGCTTCAAGACTAGAGCTGAGACCTCCGAGAACCCAATAAAAGCCAGGCACCTTGGTGAGTATCTGTAACTCCCGCACTGGGGCGGGGGCTAGAGGCAAGCAGACCTCTGGACTTCTAGGCCATCCAGTCTAGCTGACCGTGAGCCCCAGGTTTACTGAGAGGTGGTGTTTCAGAAAATACGGTGAAGAGCAATCAAGGAAGACACCGGATGTTCCCTGACTGCTATAGGCATATGTATACACAGACACATCTGAAAACATGTGTGCATACAAACAACACATAAAGACACCCAAATTTAAAGTAATTTGGGCACTGCTTATTTCTATTTATAGTGATATCTATATTCTATATGTTTTATATAGTATGATGTCATTTTTAATTTTCTCTTTAGAATTTATTTTTCAATGTCTAATATTTTTCTTAAATTTTCCTCTAAGTTTATAATGTTACAGTCAAAAATATATTTGGCATGAATATTGCTTTAGGAAATTTATTGTTTTTTGGCTTACATAGATTATTTTCTTTTATATGTTTTTGAAAGGCAAGTAAATGGTTTTAGTTTTCCATCTGTGCTAAGTTGTATTTTAATTGCACAGTAAAACAATTATATTTGGTATCTTAACTGTTGTAGTCTTTCATTTTGTTTAATGTTTCTGATTTTTCTGTATCCTTTAATATCTAAATTATTATTTGCTTATCTGATATTTTCTTTAGATTTTATAAATTTCTCACATAAGACTTTTTTCTACTCTTCAGATTGCCATTTTTAAAAGCATTTATTTTATTTCGTATTTCTCTCTCGTCTGTCTCTCTGTTTCTGATGTGTGTGTGTGTGTGTGTGTGTGTGTGTGTGTGAAAGAGAGAGAGAGAGAGAGAGAGAGAGAGAGAGAAAGCATGTACCTGTACCTGCAAAGATCAGAAGTGTAATGTCCCTTGAAATAGAGTTGCAGACAGCTGTGAGCTTCACAATGTAGGTGCTGGGAGTTGAACTCAGTTCTGCAACAGTCCCAAGCAGTCTTCCCCACTGGACCATCTTTTCTTCCCCAGTTTGCCATGTTTTAATTATGAAACTGGGGCTCTTACTTGAGTGCAGTTGAGTTTTCCTGAAAAGCTGCTGATGCCATCTCCCCCTTGCTTCTGTTTTGTGAAAGCAGCATGAGGAAAGGGGTCATCATTGCTGCCTTCGGTATCTCTGTAACCTTGGAGACTGACGTAGTCTGCAAATATCAGCAGACTAAGTTCCAGATGTGGGTGGATAATGAAACTGCAGTGGGTGTTTCAGTTTGTCAACTAGAGGAAGTTTTGAGAATATCGAGGTGGTTTTTTTTTTTTTTGCTTGTTTTTTTAATCTTAATCATTGCCAATTCCACTCAATCAACATTTCTTGATTACTATACAGGGCTAGTACTAGCTTAGATGTTGGGATAGAATAATTTAAATGAGAAACTCTTGTTAGCCTTAATGTATACATACCTTATAAGAAGATACCACAAAATACATAGAAACAAAAGCAGAAAGCATTCATGTTTTCTATGCCTAAGAAATATCCTAAATCCTTAGGAAATTGGAGCCAGATAGGAAACCATCGTAAAGTTTGCATTTTGGTTAAATACAGGTGATAGAGAAATTCTCAATCTCTCTTTGCCACACCCAGTTCAGTGTTAAAATTTATGTATTCTAAGAAAGAATGAAACAAAGATCAGGTCATATCCACGTGTAGCTTTAGTTGTGAACTGTCTGGAAGTTATCCCTTCCTGGGATGTGAATCTCTCAGGAGCCCCCGCATCGGAGAGTGGTCCATCCTCATTCTCACATGAAATTTCCTGAGGAAATTCCAAGCCTTGGGGTCCCCATTGCAGTAATGGATTGGTGGGGTAAAATGATGATGGCAGGTTAATATCTACGCTGTTAGCATAACAGACAATGACTAACATGTTTCCCCATAGCTCTTTGTTCTGTAAGACCACACAGGTTACTGCTTTTCACAACTGCTCTTTCTTGCTGCACCCCCGACACCTTTCTTATTCTGACTTTGTTGTTTGTCCCACGTTTCCTCTATTTCCAGGTTCCTCTTTTAGCCCCAACGTTCCAGCTTAGCTAACTTTCAAGTTCCACTTGGACTCTTCACTTAAATACTTAATTTTTGTAGTAGCATCTCCATGCATTATTGTCCTTAGCGAAAAGGCCCTTAGCATGCTTTCCTAAATCAAAGGCTATTTTACTTGAGTGATGACTAATGACACTGTTCTACGATGTAAAAGCAACATGAACATGCTTAACACCTCACAGGAAATGCACACACCATTCCTCCCACCATCCTCAAGCCCTCTAGGTACCTCCTGTCAGGTAAGCACTCTCTACTTTAATATGTTTCACGCCAGAAGAACTGACTTACATAAGCATTTGTGCATATGCTCATCAGTGTTTGATAATAAATTTAAAACATTTTGATGTATTTATTTACATTAATTCTCAACTTTTTTTTGTTCTTTGAGTATTATTCCATACTTAAGGAATGCCCTTCTGTTATGTAGTGGCTATTTGTTATTATTATAATTCACAACCTTTTCAACAGACCCTCTGTGACAGATTCAATTTTTTCTGCTTTTATAAAGATAGTGCTAGCAAAAGCATTCTTGGGTGTGTCTTGGTTTTCCTTACTCACTTTTTCTTGTATAGAAACATTAGGGTATCTGGTTATCGGGTTCTTCAAAAGCTTGTTTAAAATTTTGACTGACTGAAATGTTAATAATATGTCAGATTATATTTCTACATATATATGTATGTATATATGTATTGGATATGTAATGTAGATATAGAAATATCATCTGTACTATATAGAGTTTGTGATTAAGTGAACCTCTCATTTAGTCTTCATTTAATTTTTTAACATTTGAGTGAACTGGTACAATATCATTTGCTAAAAAGAAACACCTTTTTGATTCTTTGTAAATGAAAACTTATTGTAAATTATTACAACTTTATCTATTGAGAAACAGACAGACAGAGATGCAAGGGGTGAGCATCGAGGAGCACACACATGCCATGATGGTGCTAAGTGGGCAGTCAGAGGACATCTTGGTGTACACACTTTCCACTCTTAAAGGTTCTGGGTGCTGAACTCGGCCACTGAGCTTTTGTGGCAGTTGCCTTTATATGCTGAACAGTCTTGCCAGCCCAGAAAGATAACTTCCTGAATTTCCATTTTTAGCTATAAAGGATGTATAGAAATGTTATTTGTGGAGCTGGTGAAGTGGCTTAGTGGGTAAAAGCACTTACTGTTAATCCTGAGAGCCTGAGTTCAATCTCTGAAAGCTACATAAATGTAAAAGAGGAGAAGGAACTCCACATGCCTATCT